CTTTGCTGGTCTTGATACTGGCATTCTCAGTACATGTCCTGCGAATCTAAGCCTTCAACGCTATAGGTACTTATATTTTGTGCCAATGAAATGTACAAACTTTGCATGTATTAATGCTTACATAACGGTTTAGTATATGAATGCTATATGTACTCACTGCCTTAGGATATGAACGTTATAAGTAATAACCATTATAAGAACATTTAATACATGGATGCTATATATATGTATTAACGTATTCAACTTTCAGTATCCGAAAGATATGGGTATTTAGAATGTTTCAATGTATTGGTGTACAAATACAATCGCCATATGTTTTAAGCCTTTACTCTTAATATACGAATGTTACATGCAAATATTTTTAACTTACAATATTTTAGTCAAAATCCCTATATGAATTAATATTTTCACAGATTCTAGTATATGAATGTATATGGACTTTAAGTTAAGCAATATTTAGTGTATCAGTGCTTATGGATTAAACTCTGAGCAATATTTTGGTTTATGAATTCTATATGGATTATATTAATGATGTTTGTACTAAACTTTACGCAATAAATAATTTTACGAATATTATATGTATTAATATTTTAACAAAGTTTTAGTATCTGTACGCTATCTGTATTACAAGTCTAACAACATTTTAATGCCTAAACTGTATTAGTAGTATAGGTTTTCACATCTTTATGTTTTAATGTACAAACGCTAAATGTATTAAACATTTTAACAACAATTTAGTATATAAACTCTACTGTTTATTTAGAGATATTTTTGTAACCATTGCCTATATTTAAAGCACGCAAATAGTTTAGATATACGGTTTAAAGCTGTTTAGAGGGTTTAGATAATTAGAACAAAAGCTTTCAGAAAATCTCAGCTGGACTCAGAAATCTTACATGAACCCTCTTATGTCTGTCAATAATATAGACTTCACCTATATATCAGTAGCCTGATAATGAGAGCGGTTAATTAAAAAGCCATAGACAAGTAAAGACAGTGGAAGAATAAGAATTTACGTTAGCACAGGAGGGAGTAATAGGTCGAATAGAACCTGACCCTCCCAGGTCTTCAAGACCTAAACGAAGAGGTCGAATAGAACCTGACCCTCCCAGGTCTTCAAGACCTAAACGAAGAGGTCGAATAGAACCTGACCCTCCCAGGTCTTCA